CAAATGTCAAGCCCACTATGAGAAAGAACCTAAAGAAAAGGACATATGGTAACAGAAAGTAATAGTTTATAGCTAGATTAAGTTAACAAAAGCAAATAAAAAAACTCAAACCTGTTTCTTTCTTCTAGGTTAACAAGTCTTTCATAACATCCTATATAAACATTCAAATACTTCATCTTAAAAATACTTAATCAAAATAGGTTCTTTTATAAAGCTATGTATATTACATGTGAGCAGAAGTACTTTGCCCAGGTTGTGTATGTGAAGAATTGTAACAATTGTCCTCTCTCTGTATTCGAACTTTGAGCTTGAGTAGTTTACATTTAAAAATACAAGAAGAATTACAGAATGGCTTGGGTTGGAGGGGACCTTAGATTGTCTCATTCCAACCCCTCTTGCCATGGGCAGGGGCAGCTTCCACTAGACCAGGTTGCTCAGGGCCCTAGCCAACCTGGCCTTGAACAGTGCCAGGGATGGAGCGTCCATAGTGTCTCTGGGCAAACTGTCCCTGTGCCTCACCACCCTCAGAATTTGAAATGTATTCCTAATATCCAATTTCAACCTATCCTCTTGCAGTTTAAAGCCATTGCCCCTTGACCTGTTACTACATTATGGAATATTAATCCCAATATTTCCGGGTGGGACGTGCCTGGCCTCGTCTGGCCCTTGCTGCTGGGCCAAAGGCGGCAGCTGTGGTGTTTTACCTCAGAGACACCTTTGGCCTGCTGGATGCTGCAGCTGGGCACTCAGAACAAATCCAGGCAATGTAGGAACTCAGTTTACCTCTGGTGGAAAAGTTGCAGGTGACGGTGAAGAGAAAGGAGAGGATTCTATTGTAGAGTTTTAATCCAGAGTTTTATTCCAGGATGGTAGACCTCTGAATCTTTTAACAGCTCCCAGTCGAATCCCGACTGCATGGTCTCATCTCTTTTAAGCCCCGGGGACAGGGGGTGGGGAAGGGACAGGTGAGGGCCAACCAGGTGTGAGGAGGGGAAGGCTCAAGGGATGCTTGGACAGGCCAATGAGCCCAGACCTGAGGGGCACCTTTTGAACTTCTGCCAACCACACGACGCCCTTGCTGGAATGTTAAGGTTGTTGGACAGCTCTTAGCAGGAGGGCAAAGGGGAAAGGAAAGGTTGGCACACCTGAGGGGTTGGGATAGGTGAAACAGGAAATGGCATCACACTGCAACACTACATGTCTTGTCCTTCTCCAGCTTTCTTGTAGACCCCATTAGGTACTGGAAGGTGCTCTAAAATCTCCTTGGAGCCTTCTCTTCTCTCTCAGCCTATGTTCATGGGAGAGGAGCTCCAGCCCTCTCATCACCTTCATGCTTCTCCTCTGGACTTGCTCCAGCAGGTTCATGTGCTTTTGATCCTGCCTAGGATGTGGCTGGCTTTCAGGGCTGCCAGCACTCATGTTGAGCTTAACAGCCTTATGAGGATAGACTTGGGGCAGATTTTCTTTATAATTGCCTTTCATAGCTAGTCAAGCAGACATTGTCAAGAAAATTGTTTTGTCTCTATAAAATATGCTCCTGAAATCTTCACATCCAAATAAGGAGGGGTAAAATCAATCTCTTATTGACATAATTGAACAGAAATATGTAACTAGCATTGATGCTATCACTTGTATATGTATGCTGTGATGTTGTATTGAAGAAGCAGAAGATAGATGATGTCTTGTGTGACAACATTACTGCCAGCTAATAATTTACTATGCTCTGAAGAGGCAAATTAGAAATATAAATAAGAAGGCATCTTGGGGTCAAACAAAGCAGAAGGGCTTGTAGGGTAGTGAAAATAAATTACTCTTGCTTTTCATCCCTTCCTAATAATTTCTTTGGTAGCTTTGCTTTGCAACTTTTAAAGTGCCCCCTTGGCTTTGGCTACAGTGAAATGAGATGTCAGCACAGTTTGACTTAAAATTTACTTTGAGTGGGGTGGTCTAGGGAGGAGGTGCTTCACTTGCCTTAAAATGCTTTTACTCCAGCTCATACATCTATCAAGTGAGAGCTGGAGAATCTTAATTGATTTAATATATTTGATCATACTTTTAGATTAACCTATGATCCTAATTCCATACATTGGTCTTGAGATTTCAGAAATGGGTGCAGGACAATTTTCTGCTTTAGCAGAAAATCAAGTGGTAGCTGAAGACCCACTGAAATGCATTTTTTGACTTTGTTTGCTCATGGATATGAGATTGTAACTCTGCAGCATCAGCAGTGAAGGGATACTTCAGTAGCATCAGCATCAATATAACAGAGCAGAACAGAAATAAATCTGCACCAGCAGTAGTTCACCAGAGGAGGGCCAAGCTTGGAACAGCAGCAGTGATCACAGAGATCTGTCTATAGGTAATCTGATGAGGTATCTGGAAAGGTCTTTCCAGGGGCTTTTGGAGCCATATTGGGAGCATAGGGATATTCCTTGGGATTGACTTTTGCAGCGTATCTTTGTGTTCTGGGGAATGGTTCCTTTTTGGTTTAATACCATTGCTTTTTTAAAGTGTGATTGCAGTGAAAATAAAGCTTGAATAATTCTCCATCTGCCAGCAGTAGTACATTTCTATTAATAGATTGAATCATTAATTGTCTAAGGACTATATTATAACACCGGCTGTTTAAGTATTACTCCAAACTATGCTTTACAAAAACAAGTTTACAATAAGATAGCTATGATGAAGAAATAAATTTATGTTGTTCTGTCCAGACTGTTTATGTTCCAGGTTACGGAGCTTGTACTTAGGAAACAGAAAACAAAATTTGGCATCATAAATAGATTAATGTTAAGTTAATGATAATTAATGTCAAGTTAATGATAATTGTAAGTTACCATGATGATAATTTTATTAAAAGATGCTTTGTAGAAAATGGTCAAACTTTGCCTGAGTTTTGCAGTCCCGTGGAAAAGCAGTTAATGATGCCATGGTACATTTTTCTCCGTAACTAATACTTGGCTTTTGAAACCAGATTCATTGCTATAGATTATGAACACTTAGTAGAAATGAGTTTGAGTGCTACTAATACTACTGTTACACTGCAGTCTGAAATTCTACACAGGCAGAATTTCATGTGCTCCTAAGGATAAGGGCCACATCAGCTTGGGAAACCTGTTGGTAATTCCTTACTCCTTAACACTGAGGACATTTCCCAGGACCTCTGAAAAAAATCCGGAGGCATCTTGTCAGACAAGTTGAATCCTTGTTAATTTTTTTGAATAAGAATTAATTATCTTAAGCTGAATCTGGAACTGGATGATTTTCTGAGAATGATCTCACCTTTTTGAGTTGTTGGGTTTTGCTGGTTTTTTTGAGAGTCTGTAAATTAAGGTAGTTAGTGTTTCAAGAGTTAGTGTAGTTTGGGTAGGGATCTTGTATAAGTAGATTGTAAATCTGTTTGCAAGCTGCACCTCCTAATCTTCTTAAAAGGATTTTGACAAGAGAGTTAATGCTTATTAATACTTGTCAGCTAGTGCACAGTCAAGAAAAAAAGAAATGGGTGAAAATCTTACATGAAATATTTCAAAAGAGAGCTATTGTAGTTGATTGTAGTTTGAAGTGGTAAGAGAATGTCACTGTGATGTAGAAGCAAGTGCATACACCAGAGAATTATTATTCTCATCTGTAGTTAATAAGGGTAAATTGGAGTATAAACGAGAATAGAGATTTAATCCCTCCTTGACATAATTTAATAAGAAAGATGAGATACTGAGATTCAATGAAAGTAGGATCTGGGTTTCTTCACTGAGACAAAGATTTGGATTCCTTAAAGTCTTTGATTTCAAAGAGGAATCTTTAAAAAATCTTGTTGGAGGGAGTGCTTCCACTGTTAGTATAACAATAAGGTGAATAAAGCTATGTATTTGTGAAAACTTAGTTTTCGCTCATTGTAGCTATCTGACTTCTGTTCATTATAAGCCCATCCACTGGTAGAAAGGACATTTTTTTCAGAAAAATTAACTAGCAACATTTGAGTGAGTAATAAGTTTAATGATTACTAGCAGTTATCTCTCTTTCTGTTATGCCTTTATACATGAATAATTTCTTCATCTGATTGAGTATGACATCCTAGGAAAAATCTGTTTCTTTCTGTCCTTAATGGTTTGCATTTAGTCTGTTATAATTTTTTTTCCTAATGATGTCAGCTAGAGTTTGGCTTACCTGCTGATTCATAATATTTGATAATCACATTTAAAGTGTGTTACAGAGCTAATTCACTTTATTTTCATAAATATGTAGTAGTACACTGAACCTGCTGAACTGCTGGTCTACATGCTACTTTGTGGTAGAGCGTTCTACAATTTTATTTTCCTTGAAATCTTGCTTTTTTAAAAGGTGTTGCTGTCAAAGGTTTAAAATATTTTAAATATTGGAATTAAATTACTGGAGTGTTACTGATGAAAAATTAAGATTCTTGCTTGCATATTTAATTTGTCCAACACTAAGAGACAGACACTTCATGGAAGAGAATATACATATTAAAGGTTTCCTTCTTCCTTGAAAGTGAGAAGAGGAAAGTCAGTTTATAGTCAGTAAAATGCAGAAAAGAAGCTTGGATGTAGGAGTTACTGTTGGTATCTAATGCTTTCCATTTAGCCAGATAGAGAACATTTGTTTTGGGCACCGATTCTACGGACTTCTTGTGTGTTTGGACATCTGTTTGTTAATGTTTTCTTACAAACCTAAAACTATAAATTATTCTAAGATCTTTAGGATTAGGACTGTATCATCATATATACTTGTACAGTGATGCTGCATTGAGACTTTGGTGCTATGTGGGCTTCTGGATGCTGCCTGTGTTGAAATTATAAGAATCATGTTCAAGTTGATAAAGGGCAGTTGTTAGGATGTCTTGGAAGGAGTTCATTATGTAGTTGTAAAATGCATTTTAATTTGTTTATATTATGGTGTGATATTTAATGCAAACATTTTTAAGTTCAGTGCATGCAGGTGGAGATATTTCTCTGATTAAGCCCTTGTGTTTTGTTTTCTTGCAGGCCTTTGGAACGTTCTAGTGAAGATGTAGATATAATATTCACACGACTGAAAGAAGTGAAAGCTTTTGAGAAATTTCATCCAAACCTTCTCCAGCAGATATGTCTCTGTGGATATTATGAAAATCTGGAAAAAGGAATCACATGTAAGACAGCTTCATAGGATTATGTATTTTATGTAGATAAACTTGGGGGTTAGACTGTGATTGTCTTTAGGAGATTCATGAGAGCAGAATCAGTGGAATGTTTACAGTCACAGTCATGGGGCAAGGCAGGACTAAAGTGCTGCTTGCTCTACAAACGCAGTGTGTAGTGAATCTATGGTAGCAGGGCATACAGTAGGATATAATACTCTACCATATAATACTCTACCACTGTTCTGTTCAAAGATTACAAGCCAGTCATTGGACTTATGCCTCATTCTTCTCCTGTAAATGTATTATCGATTGCTTTTGCCAGTGCTTTGTGCTGTCAGGGACAAAGGTGTGCCAGCAAGGCACATCACTGATAGTGTGTGGTTTCCAGGCACCCTGGCACAAGCCAGAGCTGCAAACTGCTGAGAGGTGCAGCAGCTGTGTGCCTGCACTGGCAGCCCGTGGGCCTGATGTAGGTGCACACCTGTGCTTGGTCTGTGAAGCTGAGATGGAAATAAGTGGTAGTCCTGTGATGGGAATGCATACCAGGGGAATAGCTGATGAAAACCTGTGGTATTAGTCAAGTCTCAGAAACACCTCAGGTAAATCTGGCATGCAGCACCGGGGTTTGCTTAGAGTAACAGGGGTTTTGATGCTCTGTAATCACACAGTTGGAATGTCTGGACATCAAAGTCTTGCAGTTTCTGTTCAGCCAGAACTCTTACTGAATTCATTGGTAGCTGTGTGTGCTACCAATGAATCTGGATGATTGTGAATTTCAAAGGGACATTGTTCTGAAAAACCTTTTCCTTGTTTGTTTTGTTTGCTTGGTTAGTTAATTAACTAAGAGAACAGTAGAACAGAAGCAAACTGGGGAGAAGAGTGAAGCAGTTCTATGTGCTTTCATTGTTTCCATAGTGTATTGACATAGTGTATTGACTGTGCTTTCCAGTGTCACTGGAAGTATTACTGTAATTAATCTCATATAGCAAAGTGGATGGTGCCAGCAGTGACCACAGTATTGCAGTAATATGTGAGAAAATGTTTATTACTGTTGCTAAGATAAGTCTTATTTACAAGATTTCATCTTTCCAGTATTCCGTCAGGGTGATATTGGGACGAATTGGTATGCTGTCCTGACGGGATCACTGGATGTGAAGGTGTCTGATACAAGCAACCACCAGGTAAAATCGATTTTTCATTGCAACCATCCGGTCAGTAGTACAAAGGAAGAACATCCTTTATGGTGAGGTAGATAACAACACATTCTATACAGGTATTTTGTCATATCACAAGGATGTATATGTTTCTCTGAGTCTCTTTTAGTCTTAGTTGTCCTTAGTCTAAGGAAGGCAAATCATACCATTGATTACAAGAAACTGAAGAGTAATGCTCTGAAAATGGTCTACACTTCAATGTGAAACAAGTCTCCTCTGTCTTTTCCAGTAGTGCTAAAGATTGGAGAGTTGTTAATTCATTCTCTAGAAATATTTTAATTCAGTTCTTCTTCAGGAAGTTCAAGGTGAACCCCCTAGCAGTGTAGGCAAATAACAGTGTAATGCAGTCTCCACTGCAGAAATGGGAAGTGGTGTAGTAATAGCAGACTATTGGAACTGCTGCCATGTTGGACAGGAAGCCTGTAGGTAATACCTATTCAGTGTTAAGAAACAGAAGAACAAGTAAAATTCTCCCCAAATTTAAAGTGGTTTCTCAGTATCGTGGTGCTCCTGGATTTATAAAATTTAGAGTAAATAAAAATCTAAAGGGATGAGATACTTCTAGAGTCTCTCATCCATGTTGTCTAATGTCATGCACCTGCTGCTGTGAGCTTAGTCTTCTGGGAAGGCATCCTGTCCCTTTTTTGCTCCCATGTTTGAGACCAGTGATTTTCCCATGATGTCCCATGGGGTTGTACCTCTGATAAGGGACTCGTTGTGCCTTTGCATTAGTATAGCTATCCAGGACCTTATAGAGACTACTACCCATTTTCCTCACCTGGATTGAAAAGAGCATGTGTGGGGGGGGTATGGTGGTGGTGTATTCTTTGGCCAAAGTTTGGCTGATTGAGGAAAGTTTTTTGCTCATAGCAGAAATTGGATTTTTTCCAGTTTGTTGAGCATCGCATCACCATTGCAATTGGGTCAGAATGCAAGTCAAGGCAGTGTGTGAGTACTGGGTCTTTCTATTTCCTGCAGTAGAATGGTAGATGCAAAAGGAACTTCTTTCATATTATTTTTAGCAACCTCTTCACTGTACTAAGTAGAGATTGATTGAGAGTATAATTAGCTTAATTTGAGCAATTCTTGGCATGGCCTGGCTGTCACTGGTATTGTCACAATTTGGAACAGTACTGGGCTCTTATGAGACCCTTTTCTGTGGACGTCTAAAGCAATCAGGATTTTCCAGTGTTTGCCAAAAGATGGCACTACACTGTTGTGAAGAATCAATGCTCTTTACTCAGAAAGTAATACATCTGCACAATCTGGATGTTAAATTAAGAATCTCTTTGGAGTGTTGATTTGTTCCATTAGATGGAGTATGGAACACTTCAGTTTCTTAATGAATATAATGTAAATATTTTTTTCTGCTTGTTCAGGTTAACTTCATTTTCCTGCCAGTAGGAAGCTGTTGAATTACAATTCATGTGATTCTAGTTCTAGAAATTATATTCTGCATTACCATTACCTCACATTTCCTTCTGATGTGAACAATGAACTGAATTCTTACCACTGCCTAGCTGCCCTAGAATATAGCCTCACTGCCAAAAACATGGCAGCCCATGCATTTGCCATTCCTGTTTGAATAACTTTCATGTGTGTGGACTCCTAAATACTATTTGAGTCCAACATTTTCTCTGGTTTTGCTCCAGCATGGGGTTTATACTATGCCCCTCCTTGTCCATTCTTGGTCTCCTTCTCATTCTCCTGCCTGTAGCTCCTGGATGTAGTTCCTGTACAGTCTTGCCTGTACTTTCTTGTTGGCCTGGTACCAGTCATTCTTGAAACTGAAGTACTTGCTAGCACTCCCTGCCTACTGTGCTCACTATAAACCCAGATGATGGAGGCAATACGGTGTTGTACTGCTGTCAGGGCAGCCCTGGCACACTCAGTTGACAGCGTTGTGCTCCCAGCTGGGGATGGATGACCAGTGCTTGAGGTGTAGGGGTACTTGGAGCACATTTTCCAATCACATCACCCAGGAGCAAAGGTCCTTTGCAAAGTCATAATAGTGACTAATTGGTCAGGTGTTACTATGCTACCATAAATGGCACTAATGCTAATGAGAAACTTCCAGCAGAGCAGGACAGATGCAGATGTTTACCTGAGTTTAGAAGTTTGTAGACTCATGTAAAAGTACAGGATTATTCTGTCTTTCCTAGTAGGAGGAAAGCTAACTTGGTATTTAGGTTCCTATTGGTTAAAATGTCTTTAGACATGACTAATTAATCTGGACACTGTTTAATACTTCAGATAAACAGGTTTTAGATGACCTCCTGAGTTTTCTTGCAGCTTGAATTAGCCTATGATTATATGATGATGCCTACAGTGTTAATGTAAATACAGAAAATCAATTCTCTTGATTAAAAATATGAGTCCCATTTTGCTAGGTGTGTATCTGTGTGCTTGGGAAACTTAAATTTCATCAAGCCTAGGAATTAATGCATTGTGTAACAGCTACCATGTGCTACCTCTCCGTGCAGTCACCTTTGGTGATTGGTAGCTTTCTCCCATGAGAAGTGCAGTAAGTTATTGTGCACCTGGTCCCTACTAAAAATGTCTTAATAATCTTTGTTCCTACAGAGGCATGTAGGAAAATGTCTTGCCCTAGAAATTAAATCTTAAGGTACTAATGGATCAAGACTTCAGTGTAGCTAGTGAGGTATTAATTCATACGCGTTCTTGTTGCACAGCAGCTTACTAATGTAGACACCTGTGATTTCTCTCAGAAAATATCAGTAATACTGATTAGGACCAAGTTGAGAATTCATGTAAACAGAAATATTGACGTTAGCTATTATATGATATTATAATAGATGTAATAGGAACTATTACAATCTATTGTTCTAAGAACCTTAATAGAGACAGACACAGATATTTAGGACCTCATAAAGCTTCGCTTACACAGGTTTGGAAAAATCCTTTCTGCCTGCAAAGCTGTGTTCTGTCACGAGAGGGCAGCGTTAGAATGCAAAGCAAACGCGAGCGCGTGTTCGATGCTGCAATGGACGCTTTGTAAATCGTGTTCGGCTATTTAACATACACACCTGTTTAAAGAGTTTGGCCAGAGAAAATGTTGCTGTTACTGTTAGTTTTGTCCCACCGAGCTGGTAAAATGTGCTGGTAATTTCATATGCCGTTGGAATGGCTACAGGGATTTGACAGGATTACTCATCCAGTACATCCTGAGTGGAGTCTGCTCTCTGTGAAAACTATTAATGGGTTTTTTTCTGAGCATTCAACAATCAAGAAGAGATCGAAGAGGACTTTTTCTAGGGTGAAAACGTCTCACTGTGAATTCCAGAGGTAACTGTAATGAACTGCTTTGGTCTTGCCTCAACTTTTTTGTAACAAATACCCTGATAAATACAGCACTTAAAAGTCATAGAAAAATATAGTTAAGTTATGTTCAAATAAACAGCACAGGCAGCCTCTGTAGAATATATCAGAAAGAGGTCTTTGCCCTCAGTTATGATCAGATTCTGACTTTCATTTTTATTTGGCACTGTTGCCTACTCAATGTTGAGATATTTAGTAATAGAAGTTTGTCTTAGGGATGTTCCTGGTTTGGTGTTGTCTTAAATACATTGCTGACAAAGTGCCTTGTGTATGTTTCATTTTTGAACTCTGTTTTGAAGCTGAACAGTCTAAGGATGTCTGTTGGCAATGTCTCAGAATAAAGCTGGGAATAAATGCATTATGACATCAGTGTTACAATGTTGTCAGATTCTGCAAAACTGTGATTTTCTGAATTAGATTCAGAGCCTTTTACCCCAAAGTTTTTTCTGATAAACTATGACGGAATGAAGAGAAAAAAGACAAAGACCAAATAGCAATTTGATCTTCTGGGTTTTTTTTCTCTATTTTGCCAGTTGAATTATAATGTGTGCTGGTGCCTTTTGCCAGCTTATCTTGCCTATGTTATGATGGAGTTTTTTAGGCAGGTCAGTTTTTAAAAACAGACCAAATTTAACATAGAGCATTGACTTAAAAAACAATTAGCCTGTTTTATAAAAGCTATAAAGGAGGAGCTGTGAGTGCTTGGATGGTACAGCACTGTCAGCTGTAAGAAGATGCAGAGGGCTGGGGATGAAAAGCCAAATAAGTTAGTGGGGTTGCTGAGAAGAATGACTGTGAAGAAAGAGGTTCAGATGTTCATGTAAGAAATGGAAGAATTTCACAGCTCTTTGAAACTGAGGACAAAGGAGGTGTGTGATAAGATGAAGTGGCAGCAAGGAAAGGGATTTAAACAGGATAGTCCTTGCAATACTGCTTTCAGCATGTAAATGTCATTATGTATTTTGGAGATAATCTATGTGAAGTTGTGACATAGGTTTGTACTGTAGTTAGTAGTATAAATATGCCTAAGCTAGTTTAAAATTATTTAGTTTGAGCACGAGAACTGCTGTACCCATTGTAACACAGAGATTGGCTGAACTAATGTACTAAGCTGAGCAGCAGAGTGTGTTGGCTCATGCTGAGCTCCTGTGTTGTGGTTGTGCTAATTCTGGTTTTGAACTTCGCTTATTGGAAGTTAATGCAGAAAAATAATTTCACTTCTCTCTGTCAGGTGATGTAGGAAAACATCTAAGACATTGCAGGTAGCTTTTATGAATGTGGTATTACAGTACAGTTAATCTGAACCATACATATTTTAATTAGGTACTAAAAGAGAAGCTGCTCACAGTTTTTGTAGAAGCATAATGCCTTCTTTAAGTAAATAACCTTGTCTTGTGTAAAGAGGGTGACCTAACATGTTTGCAAACTGCCGTTTTAGTGTGTTCAGAAGGTATTTCTGTGTTATTGTTAGAAATATTTTGATATGGACTTCTTGTCTGAATGCCTGAAACACTGAAGTGAAGATAAGGGAACAGAAAAATTACTTCATAGTTTACTTTCATGTATATCCTTGGTTTCTCTGCTATAAAAGGAAATTTTTACTGAGGACAAACTGAACTATGTCAAAATAATAATAAGCAAGCTTCTCAAAATGCCAGCTTTGGCAAAACTCCAGTTAAACATAGAGATAGTATGATGTCCTAGAGAGACACAGATTTTCAGATGAGATAAAGATGCAAGGTGTAAGAAAATGATGAAATCAAAAACAATCTAGCTACATCAGCTCCCTTATAAACTCAAAATGTTGAACAAACTAAAATTTTAAAGGAATGTCCCCAATCCCTTTGAGTCTAGCACTAGTAATGTTTTCCCTGGTTTCTTCATTTCTCTTTCTGACACTGTGATTTTATTTACACACAGTACAAAAATTCTGTTTGCCAGGTAGAGAAACTGAAGGGGTCACAAGTCAGGGAGGAGGGATACAGGATGATCCTTGAGATGGTGGGGAAGGGAATAAAGCAGAGACTTCTTTCTGATTCTCATCCATTCCATTAAAATGTTCTTGCAAATTCAATAATATTTTGGATTGATTGGCGGGGGGGGTGAGGGAAAGGCTTAAGAATGCATTCCCTGCATGTGTCTCATGTGGCAGTAAGAGTCAGTGAAACTGAATACACAAACAGCCTCTGATTTGAATGCTACTGTTTTATAGTGTGTATAGAGGACAGATAGCAATGACAGCAATCTCATCTTTCTAAGTCTCTAATACTGCCTTTTAAATAGCTGTGTGAATGTTAGCTGGTTAGCAGCCACTAGAACACCCTGCTGCTTCTGGGATTGCAGAGGGGAACAGCAAACAGGGAGTTTTGAGCTGCCAGCAATCCTCCTGAAGTCTTCACTGAACAGCAGGAGATTCTTGAGTGTAAGGTTAACAGGCATAATAGGAAACACACCTGATTCCCCAGGAGGCTGGAGATGTTTAAACAAGGGGTAGCGAGAAAATGGGGCTCTGAAGCCTCGAAGAAGGCATATAGGTCTGCACCCCAGTGGGCTGTGAAACTGCATTTCTGTGGATAACTGTGATGGCTGGGAAAAAATATGAAAGAACTTGATAATTTGATGTGATGCATTAGGTTTTAGCTTTTATATTTTTCAGATTCTGTACTGCTTTAGTGTGTAGTTCTGAGCTTCATATTAAGGGATGGTAAGCTCTCTTCACAGAGTAGCTAGAAAAAACAATTCCTTCTCTAGCTTGGGAGCAAGGACAACTGATCCAAATTTCAGGCCTGAGAGCATAAACAAGGTGAACTGAAGAGAGGAAAACAAGAAGGATGGGACTCATAACTTAAAGCTATAACTGGACAAATAACTCCAATATGCTAATGGACTAGAACCTATAAAAGTGAGAGACCCCGTGACTGGTTGTCCATTTTGTGACCATTTTGGTTCATCTTGGGTAGCCCTGCTGGGCTCTTGTACTGCCCAAGGTGCATCCATGGAGGCCTTTTAATAATAGCTACTTTATTCTTTAACTTCATCTAGCCTTTGTTCTAGGTCAGCCTTAACAAGGCATTGGATGGAAGCCTGGATTTTCCTTTAATGAATGTAGATAGGACCATTCCAGCCTCTTGACCTAACACTCCACAGTTTTAATTTATTTCTTAAGCTTAACAACTGCCTCATCAGAAGTTATGTTATAATTTCTTAACCAACAATTATCCTTTTTGCTTCTTATGTCTGTTCTGTCATTAAAGATTATTCTTTAGGGTTGTAAACAGTCAGAGAAGGTGAAATATTTAAAATTAGTTTTATTTTTTGAAGGGAGGGGAGTGAGTGAGAAGTTAGAAAATGTAAACAATGTCTATGATTTACCTTCAGGAAAAGTTTCTTTTAGGCCAGGCTGTTTGGTTGTCCTGTCCTGAACAGAGGTCTTTTATCTGAACTTTCTGAATAGGATTGAGAATGATGCATTGTATATCTGGAGATCAAATTTTGTATGAGCAGTAGCCTCATTTTCTTTGTAGATCCTTTGAATGCCATTGCGAGTATCGTACCATGCATAGAGTGTTTCAGCTCTGAAATGTAAGCTTGGGAGGGCAGATTTCAGTGTATAAACTGTATTACAGTCTGTTTGTAGAGGCTTCTGTTTAGGTGCCAAGGTGCTCATTCCCGACTAATCTTTCTTTTAAAGAAAACCTGTTCTTATTTTCCTTCCTTGAAAATTTATTTCTGACAGTTGGTAAATTTTTCCTAGATCTTCTCTGAGATATAATTGATTTTGTTTTCCTGAACACACAATTTTATATGGTAACATCTGTGTAAGAGCAATTTGCTATGGTTCAGGGAACTGGACTATTATGGGCTTTTGTCTGTGTATTGCAATTACAAAGCTACTAACCTTATATTAATAATATTTGACTATTATGACTTATTTGATGCATGAAAGAAAAGCAGGGCAATTCTAAAACCAGAAAATGATGCTGAAACACGTTCATGCATCTCTCCTGGATTATCAGCCACGAGGATAACAAACGTTTCTGCTTTGATTTTGCATGAATCCTACATTTTAGAATTAAACTAGACTTCTCATTTTGTATCAAGTAAAGTTAGCATGTGTTTTTTATGTTTATTTGTAATTCTCTATGTGCATATGCAATATTTTTCCTTTGTTAAGTACAGTTTGTATGATTTTAAATTTTTTATGCTGTTGCTAATTTTAAAAATTACTTAACAGACCGTCAGATAAGGCCCATCTCAGAAAAAAGACATGTGAGTGTTTAGCTTCAAGCCTGTGATGAGGAACAAACCAACTTTTGAGCTGAAAATAGAACATGTATCTAAAGATCTTGATTCAAGCAAGTTGTTTAATGGCTACTTGTTTTCTCTGCAGTAGCTCAAAATTTTTATAGGAACTACTACAGAGGAGTTTCTCACCAAGGGAGATTGATTTAGGCATCATTTAGAATGGCACGTGCTCATATAGACTCCTTTGAAGTGGACTTTGCTGCTTGTTTGGGACCTTCTTATGGCTCTGTACATGGATCCATTTTTTCCAAGTTGTTTGAAATGTAATAGTTTTCTTGAAATCCCTGATTTATGTGAAATTTTTTTTTTTTTTTGTCTGGTAGTTAATTGAGAAACATCCATTAACAATCGAAAGATTTGCTGGCATTTTCAACAGAAAGGCCAAGAGTTGTTTCAACAGTACAAGCACATTGCTTGTACAATAGAGAAATGCAATATAATACAAGAGGATATTATAATTGAAAGTTAACGTTTTCAGAACAGAAAACATAACAGGTGAATTTTCTTTCTCATGAGAGCAGCTTGTGAAGGACAGAAGTTTATTTTCCAAGATTGCATTTCTGATTCTAGTTACCTTCTCATCACCTCTGACATTTCCAAAGATCTCATCATCAGTGGTGTTTAGAGGTAGATTAACAGAGATCACAGGTTTTTGTAAAGATGGAAGTGATTCTTGTGTTCTCAGATTTGCATTCAGAAATGTTTAATTCAACTGATGAATATAGAAAACAGAAGTCCCACTTGTTTCCATGTTAAAGCTTCCCATATTGCTTTAAAAGCATATTGATTTTTTTGTTGATGATGCTTAAATTAATTTTCTTTCTAAGCAGATTGCTGAAGGATCTCAAGGCAGTGCAATTAAAAATAAGACACAAAAACTCTCAAAACATTCTGAAACATTTAATGTTTCCTTCTTTTTTTTTGAATCAAAGGATGCTGTGACGATATGCACTCTTGGAATAGGAACTGCTTTTGGAGAGTCCATTCTGGATAACACTCCTCGCCATGCTACCATTGTTACCAGGGAACATAGTGAACTCCTTCGAATTGAGCAGAAGGACTTCAAAGCACTTTGGGAGGTAAGTTCAGATTTATTTGCAGTTAATGCAGAAAAAAATGCCTTGACCTTGAAAGCATTTGTAATATAGTATTGTTGCATCGCATGTCGGACGAGCCCTTGTTGCTGCTGGCACGTGCAGCCCTGGGATGGAATCAGCTGGGAGTGTGGCAATAAAATAAAACAAGGGATGGAAATGAATAAAGGGCTAGGAATGGAAAGCTTTAATGGAGATAAAAGGAGGCACGCGAGGGCACAACACAAAACATAAACAACGCAGATGTACGTAGCTCCTTTAGAAGACCCCCAAATGGGGCGAACGCAGCCTTATATAAACATTATCTGAGGGCAGGGAACCAATGAACAGAGAGAAACAGAAACAATACCTTATGTGGAGCACAAGATTAACTAATCAGAGGGCAGGGTTCAGAATGTAACCTTATAAGGAATAACTTAATCTGCATAATGTTCCCATCATCCTTTTCTTCTCCTTCACATCTCACCATAATCGAGCTAAAGATTTCTCATCTTAGCTTCTCCGTGTCCAGGGTCTAACGTTGTTACTTGCTGCATGGTTGGCCCACAGCTCATTCTCTCCAGGATGGACCACCACATAGTATGATGACATTTATATCATAAGCAAAGTATAATTATTTTAAATTAGTTTGGAAAAAAAGGAAAGTTTTTACTTCTCTTTCATGCTTCATATAATGTACGATTACGTACTCCTGTATTTCTTTCTTGTAGGCCTCTTGTAATGAAATAACTTAGGTGGTAGAATTTCTGGTAGAATTTATTTATATACTGCAGGTGTTGCTCTCTTAGCCTTAATTTTGCTTTTATTGCCAGCTTTTATGAGGAGAGTCTATTTTTATTATACTCTGAAATTTTAAATTATTCTCATTTTCTCCTGTCTCATCACCAGCTGTAAGGGGTTTAGAATTTGCAGATGGATCAAGATCACTTAAAAATTGACTTACTGATTGCATGTGAATTTCCTTAAAACTTTCCTTTGTGGAAAACATACTGCTGAGGTTCTTCATTCTGTAGTCTGTCTACTTTGGTATCCATGCAGAGAATGGAACATGCAGAGAAGACTTCATTAACAACTTTCTGTTGCTGCAGAAAGTTACTGAACTTGAATCTGTTTGCATTTTTGCAAGCACTACTTTTGGCTTGGAAAATGTTGTGGGAACTGGAAGGCATCCTGTTGGCCTGGCCTACACCATTGCCAGTTTGTACTTCCAGCTCGTTTGAAATGGTGACTGTACAAGTGTAGGTGTTGTGCAGAGCTGCCAGATGGTGTGACAGTGTCCTAAAGTTGCAGGTCTAGGGACACTAATTATATTTAAGAAATAGGTGCTGGTTTTAACATTTTAGTTCAGCTTCTAACTGTGGATGGATTTATTTTTTTTTTCTTTCTTTTCCTGTGAAAGAGCAGTATTATACTGCAAATAATTGTCCTGAAGCAGCTCTGAAGTCAGTATCAGAAAAAAAGTCAAATCCCCAACTATCTACATTGATGGAGGAAATGGCACTTTCATCATCTGCCTAACAATATGTTACCTTGAGCACAGTTAATGGTGCAGCATTGCCAAGGCATGAAAGACCACTGTGTGAGTGAAACATGCTTGCCACTGAATGCCCTGACAATATCAGATAATCGTTCTTTGAATTGCATAGCCAGGATTTGTACTGTTTTTTGGCAGGTTCTACAACTAAATTAAAATGTTTTGGCAATTTCTACAGTTACTGAAGTTTTGCAGTTAATTTGAAGAATCTGACAAGGCAATATTTTTTTGCAGTTCACAGGGGTTTTTTTTTGCTACAGCAGCTGCATTGTAGTTTTAGGCCTTGGCGTGAAAAGATGAAATATGCCAGTGGTCTCATCTGTTTTAACATATGCAGCATTTGTCAGTAGTCAGAAATTTGATAATGTGGATAGTGCTTTGCAAGATAATGATGGGTGGAATAAATCCAATTTCAGGTTTCTCTGGTAACGTTTTTGTAAAAATTCACTTTTAATTGGTATAAGCATAGTCATTTCTCCCATGTATATGAATTTCCTGCTAAGCTTTCAGAGATTGTTCTCTTATCAAGATTATTGGAGTTGTGGAGATTCCCTTCTAAAAACTTTTGAATTTTATATTTTAAATTGTTTTAAAAACAATTTCAACATAATTTGCTCTTTAATCACTATAATACAGTTGAATTTCTAGCACTTTTGATGATTTTGGTGAGTTTTTTGATGATAGATGCTTTTGTGGAAGATGATATGCATTAGAAGTACTGGAGTGATCACAGGCAGCTTTAGCATACACCTTGTGTGTTGCAGCCTTTATGAAATTGGGCTGTAGAACACGTCACAAATGCTACAGGTGTCAGTCAGAGACCACAGTTTTGGATTATGGTGCTTCTTTGCCTTTTGTGCCATTTTACAGTGAACTTCTCATATATTTTGTTGTGTATTTGTGTATTCTTTCAAGGAGGCTATCCCTGTGCTCTCAGTGAGTGGAAAATTGTTCAATGAAATACAGCTTTGCTGGTTGGTCTCAGATATAAAAAAGTTGTTCATTTTTTCAAGGTAATATTTATTTCCTTGCAACCTGCTAATCCCAGAGTCTGCATAAACTGCAGCTAGCATGTGATAAAGAGACAATGTTTAAAGTAGATAGAAAATTATGTGAGAAAATTTTCCCAACAGTAGCACCAGTACTATATTATTATTAATATTGTTGTTACCTGAAGAAAGGTAAATACTTTTCTAAATGGAGACTTTTTATGTTTTCAATGCTGCATTGTTCTTTCTGCCTTATCCTAAGGTTCATATATCTTTGCTGTGACAAAGTCTGTATGAGGAAACTGTTATTGTTACGTGTCATTCTGTTTTTAATTGTGTTTAGTGAAAACCCACACAAAGTCAAGAGTGGATCATAGATATTTAATACATATGGTACCATGGAAAAATGGGGAAAGGCAATGATGTCAGTTCATTACAGTCCAGATATTGTAAGAGCTAAAATCTACTGTGGGCAAATTTCAACTGTCCACATAATGAGAATTTAATTCATGAAAGAAGTGGTTTATCCAGAAAAAAAAGTCAAATATTTCCAAAATAATGTAATACTGCAGTATAAGAACAGCCTAAATAAATTGTGGGGTTAGTATTCTTAAAATGGTTATTGATTATATGTGTGTAGAATTTTAATGATTAATAATAGAAGTGCAAAAATACAATATATGTTATTTTTAATTTGTTTGTTGTTTTTAATATTGTTTTTCCCCAAGAAATTAATTTTTGGGGAAATTTATTTCCTTCTTTTGAGAGAAATAACAAATCAAAACTCTGTTAACCAAATAACAGAGTTATTCCTTCAGAGGAAAGAAAATCCAATACTGCAATATTAAGTATTTTTTCTTGTTTTTAGATTGTGAATGTAATCTTGGAAAATGAAACAACAGAAATAGATTCAGTATTGGCTTTAATTTAATGTGCAACTAATCTGAAATGCTAGCAGTAAAAGCTGAGAAGTGTCCTTCTTAACACTAAAAATTTGTTAATACTGAAGCCTACTGATGAAGTTCACATTTGCAACAAATATTTTTATATCTATGCAGTTCTTAGAAAGACAATTACATATCCATTATGCTGCTTATGAAACTTTTACTATACATCCTGAAACTAGATTTTGAGAGAAAGTTTATCTATTTTAATTATTTCTAAGTTTAGAAAGAATTTTCAGTATCTCTGAAACTTCATATTGTGAATTTGCAGACTTCTCTGAGTTTTGTTTAAATTGAAAAGTAACTTATCCTGTATTACCTGTATTGCGCTAAGCAGCAATGGTATTGGTATAATGATTCCCAGATTAGATATGTTTTATTGATGTCCTTAATGCACAATATACAGCAAAAGCATTAATTTCTATCAGTACTAATGTAGTTGGGTCTATACCTGAAAGAAAAAAAGACAGCTACTCCTAAACTGACTTCTTTTTTTGTTAATCAGTATTAGTCTGCCAGTTTTTTTAAATTTAAATATTCTTTAAGGAAAAGATGGGATATTCTTTATAAAAAATACAGTAATGTGCCTTCTGTAATACACGCAGCCCTATATTCAGTCAGCCCTTTAAGTACAGAAAGATTTTCTGTGACCTTCATTTCTATTAGTCAGGGGAAACTGGTCAAAACAAATGACACTGTCCTGATAACAACAATTACCAGTTAAAATGAGCCAGTCTTTTCTCTAATGACTGTGTTGAAGTAGCATCCTGTTGGGGAACATCTGTTGATCTTCTCTGCTTACTCATCCTTGGAGACTCGTTGTCTATCAACGCTGTTACAGTGGATTAAAGATGATGAAATCTCACACAGAATTCTCACACAGCTGAACACTGTTCCCTGATAAAGAGCTTGTAGGTTATGGGAATCACCGGTGATATTCCTTTGTGCACTGACTGTCCTTGGCTTTGGTGTCTGAAGAGCACTAACAAAACATGAAAAAGTAACTTGTTATTGTTACAACACTGTAGACTTCCAAGATACTCTATGGATCTGTAGGAAAAAATACTGTTTTTGTTGATGAGGGCTTGCTTTCCTTCCTCAGCATGTATAAGTGCTAGCTACCTTGCCCAAAAAAACTACTTCAAAGCACAAAGGAAAATATATCCAAAAATAGACATGAAAGTAGAAGACTACGCATGGGGAGCTCTGGTCACGCACATCCTGTTGAGCACTACCTTGCTCCACCCCTAATAACTGGATTCTTTTAAACAGAGTAGGAGGGAAATGAGTGCATTTGAGCAGTGTGATCATTACAGTTCTCCATAATTCATCCTCAAGCTTTGTCTTTTCATGCAGTTGCAAACTGATTCAAACCCGGACAGGAAGGGAGTGAATCTGCTGAGAGGTGACTTATTTTTAGAGGTCTTTCCTACTGTGGTGTATTACTCAGCCTTCCTTGGATAACATACAAATAACCTATTTCCTTTTGTGTGGACTGTGTTAGAAGTTACTGAACAT